CATTCTGTCTTCTCGAGGACCATGGCCCTCTGTCAGAATGCTGTCCAATGCATGCCCGTAGCTGTTTCAGTTTTATAGTTGTTCATACAGGAGGAAAAATTCTTTATCATCCTTTGCTCAGCACCTGAATCTCCATCTTTGCAGGGCTGTGTGTTCCCTCATACACTGAAGAAAATCTTTTCCAAGCAACTTCTGTCTATTCTTTACAGGAATTTCTTCTGGGAACCCACTATTGCTTCTGCTCTGTAGACAGGGATCTGATGTCCCCTCTGCCTGGAGCAAGGCTGTCTATGAGTAGATGGAGAATCAAACACCTGGCTCATTTACGTAGAGGTCTCTTCCCACTTGAGCTCCTGTCTTCCTCTTCTTAGGCCTCCACAAGGCCAGGGACACCTGCCACTTATGTCTGTGCTCAGAGGAGGGATGGACATTCACACCCACTTCAGCAGCCGCTGGGTGTGCACGGTGTCCATTGGAAGTGGGATATTAGCTGGTACTGTGTTGGTAGCCAGCCTCTGAGCAGAGAAGACAGAGTTACACCCATCCTTTTTGCTAAATCACTTCTCTGGGTGCACGGGGCCCTATGCCCTTCCCTGCTGGGAGATTTCATTCCCCTGCTTCCTGTCATGCCATCCCCTCCCAAGCCTACCTCATGTGGTCCACATGGTGAACTGGCACCTCAGGAACCAGAAAGAAAGAAAAACCTGACTTATCTGCTGGGCTCTGGGCTGGCCAGTGATTTTAAAAGGCATTAGTCACTGCTGATCATCTTCAAAGCTTTGGAATGTTTTTCCCACCCAGATACTCAGACTTTGATGTTCCCAGCTCAGTGCTGGAAAAGAAGTCTTTTGCTTTCATTCTGAGTCATCCATTATGCATATATAATGCTCTCCCTACCATTTAAAAGGAATGCAGATTTTATGTAAATGCACCTCTGTGTGATTGTATATCCAAACCTGCATAATTAATTGCATGATAATGGCATTAGGCAGTTCCTCAAAGTTTTCATAAAAAGCAGGTAAACCGTGGCTGTATACATTTGCTATGTTCTACGCAGTGCTAGTCTCATGGTCAGGTTTCGTACTATGGGAATGGTGATTCAGTTTGAGGGACTTAAAGAGCATTTCATTCAGCTATTAAGATTGACTCTCTGCATTCACCATGCCAAGACTCATCCTTGAACTCCTCCAATGACAAGGAGCTTACTACCTGTGGAGCACCCTGTTCTCTCTTTGAATATCCACGAACCATTAAGAAAGTCTCAACTTACTGGGAAGGATGTCCTGGAAAGCGTGGAGCTTATCTTTCATTTCCAAATTCCACTGTGTTCCATTAACATTATAAAGGTTTTCTTCAAAAGGAAGCCACAAAAATTAAGATGTGTTCTTTCACGTATACTAAGTACACTAAGCCCTCACCTTATGAACATTCAAGTTGTGAACTTTCACAGATACAAATGAACCTCATAAAAGCCTCAAGTCTTCTTGTGTGTTTTGTCAAATATTGGATATTTGTGTCAAAAGTGTCTAAGATCTTCTGTTGGACTTAGGAATAAATCCAACTTATGAACATTCTCCTGGAATGGAACTCATTCGTAAGTTAAGGACTTACTCCCCGCAATGAATGGAATCATCACTCACAGCAAACATGTCCTACTAAATTTTTTAAAATATTTTTTTCACATTGTTAAACAATCTTAAAAATTTTGCACACAAATACATTTACACATTTATATATACTCCATCATAGTAGATCTGTGTTTTATAATTACCATTTCACTAAATAATGTAAACATCTTTTCATTTCAACTAATCTGTAATTCCTCCTCATTTGCCGGGTTTACATAATCCTCTCCTTATGCAGACCATAATTTATCTAATATGCCAGTCGGTGGCTTTTGTTTCCCAGTTTATCTTCCAATGACCAACACCAAGATGAAATCTTCACATAAAGTGATTGTTTTCTTGGAGAGATTCATAGATGGGTGCAGAGGGCCAAGGGGGTGCGGATTCACTAAGGGGCCATTCCTGAGAAAGGCAGTGGCCTCCTGGTAGGCAGTAAGCATCGAGAAGTCCTAAAAGCTGAGCAGAATCCTTTACTAGCATCGCCGTCCTGTGCACTCCATGCCGCTCTTCCTTCCCTCCTCTCCCAAGCGCTGCCTGAGCCTTCCTGCTCTGCGTGGGCGGAGTGGGCTGGCCAGGTGGCTCTGCTCTGTCCATCACACACATATGGTGTTCCCTGGACAGGCTCCTTTCTGGTGATAATGATATCCCCCAAAAGTATGTAAACTGGGGAAGAACTGACCTCAGGAAGCAAAATTTTCACCATCCAAGAGTGCTGTTACTGCTCTTCCCAGGCACTGGGTGGTTTTCTCCATCTCTAGATCATCAAAGAGGGAAAAGAGGCAGCACAGGGCAAGTGAAGGGCAGGCTCGAAGAAATACAGAAAGATAGGTGGAGAGGAGATCAGAAAAATTGTAATTTAAAACTGTACTTGGAAGAAAACTGCAGCTTCAGGATACAAAGCTACACAGGTTACAATGCTTTTTTTTTTTTTAATAATTGTACTGCCAGGTTTTTTGGGTTTTTTTTTTTTTCCGGAATCAGGAATTGAACTCAGGCCCTTGTGCTTGCCAGGCAAGCACTTATTCTACTGAGTCATCTCCCTGGCCCCACAATGCTTTTTTTTTTTTCACCTCACACCTGTTTTTTTCCTTCCAAGGTAGCTGCTCCTAAATCCCTATGAATTTTAAAAGATACAATAAGCAAACAAATTGGGCCCATAACTTTCTCCTGTAACTTGGACCTGTATATTTGCTTTTCTTTATTTCCTATAGACTCACAAATTCCAGACTTTCACCTCAGAGGAAACGGCGCCATTACGTACACTTCAAACACATGCAAATGTTTTGTACTCTAAGCAGCACTCTGAGGTAGATCCTGACACACCGTGAATGCACAGCCTAGATCATCCATCCTGATGATGCTCTCAGGACCATAGAAATGTGTACCCTGAAGCCCAGACCACAAGGAACCTCACTCGCCCTTCAAATGCCTATAACCCTGCATGTGTACTTCTTTGATTCTGCTTAATAAATCTTATATCTATGAGTCTGGGGATATAGCTTAGCGGTCTAAGTGCCTGCCTGGCAAGCACAAGGACCCAAATTCAATCCCCAGTACGGCATGCTGTGCTGGCCCCAGAACCTTGGGCGTGCCATGTTAGCCACGGAAACCAGGTGTGGTGGCACATGCCTGTAATCCCAGTGCTGGGGAAGGTGAGACAGAAGGATACCATGAGTCCAAACTGCCAAGACCCTGTATCAAATAATAAATAAATAAATAAATAAATAAATCTCTCTATGCCTCTGACAAATGCTTTTCTGTGATAAAAGTCTACAAACTTACTTCATGGAAGAAGAGAGTGAGCTGTGGTCCCCATCTCCTCTCTGGGAAGACCTCTTCACACTCTGTCCGGTGACAGAAGAGAAGGCAGGAAAAATCTCCCATAAAGCCTAGTCAGCTAGTTCCTCTCTCCATCCAAAGTTGTCCCCTGGCCAAACAGCAAATTCCAGCAGCCAGGACTCCTCCATGTAGGGCTGGGTGCATGATTATTTATTATTTTTAAAATTTCTTCTCCATTTAGATATTTTGGTACAGGATCTCACTATGCAGCTCAGACTCATGGTGATCCTGCTGTTTTCAGCCTCCCCAGCACTGGCATTACTACAGGTGTGGGCCACCACACCCAGAGTTGGTAGCTGGCTCAGTGCGCCCAGGGGGCAGGGCCAGTGCAGCATATGGGACGTGGGGTGGAACCAAAGCAGGCGCTTAGTCCGCTGAGCATCTTGCCAACTGTGGGATGCATGATTAGCTGACCACAAAATTCACATTTTTCGAACACACTTTATCCACTAAGCCACAGGTACATGGCCACTTGTGCACCAGGGCTTCATCAGAGCATTGCTTGTAGGAATAAAAGGATAGAACACAACCTGTTAAATAACTCCAGCGTTGTGAATCTAAACACCACGGTCCAGGTCACCTCACATGAGCTCCAAAATGTATCACCTTGTCTTACGGTCAGCAAAGCCACTGTTGACCATAACACATGCCATGAGTTCATGTAGCATTAAGAAACACACACAACCAGTTAGGCTGCGCTAGGATTGTCCTACAAGGGACCTAAATTCGTCGTTGTGAAGTGGGAAACCAACTGCAGAGTAGTGTGCAGCTCCCTGACTCTGCGGATTTATATGCTTAAAGTGTTTAGAGGGGGAAGGACTATTCTGTCATTCATGATTTTACAGGCATAGAAAATTTCTGAATTTTGTATTTTCTGAAAAGATTCCCAAACCCTTGACAAACGAAGTGACTTCTATAAACCAGGTTGGGGGATTGGAACACAGAGTGGAAGGGAAACACGCTTTTTCATCATTCATGTTTGTAAAATCTGACGTTTATTTATTTATGTATTTATTTTTGCGGTACTGGGGACTGAACTCAGGACCTTGCATTTGCCAGGATAGCGCTTATTCTACTGCACAATTTCCCCAGCCCTAAAATCTGACATTTAAAATCACATATTATCTTTTAAAAATAAAATTCTAAAAGCAATGCAAAATAAAACAGCGTATCCTCCAGGGAGGATTAAGAAACATAAACGGAGCCAGTCTTGTATGTGAAGACCAAACATCCAATCTTGACTACTCTAGCGACCTCGGGCAATATCCCGCTCAAGGGAACTGGGTCTCAGTTTCCCCCAAAGCCCAATCAGCGCTCTGATGCGGGGGAGCTGGTCTGGTGACATCCTCCCAGTTTGAAGCCCGGGGCCAGCCTGGCGCCCACCGCGGAGGGAACATCCCGGGCCGGGCCGCAGCCGGCGGGCACCCCGCGGTGCAGGCCCGGCCAATCAGCGGCCACGGGGCGGGCGCGCTGGCAGCGCCGCACTCTCGGAGCAGAATGCGAGGCAGAGGCGCCACGGCCGTCTCGAAGCAGGTCATGCCGCGCTTGCCGCCTCTCCTGCCGCTGCTGCTTCTGCTGCTGCCGCCGCTGGTCCCCGGCCTCGGGCTCCGCGGCGCAGGCGTCCGGCACTCCGAGTGCGGCCCATGCCTGCCCGAGCACTGCCCTGCGCCCGCGCGGTGCCCCGCGCCCGGGATCGCCGCGCGTGACGAGTGCGGCTGCTGTGCGCGATGTTTGGGCAACGAGGGCGCGAACTGCGGGGGCCCGGCTGGAGCGCGCTGCGGCCCCGGACTGGTGTGCGCGAGCAGGGCCGCGGGGGCGGCGCCCGAGGGCACTGGGCTCTGCGTTTGTGCGCAGCGCGGTGCCGTCTGTGGCTCTGATGGCCGCACCTACTCCAGCATCTGCGCGCTACGCCTGCGCGCCCGGTACGCGCCCCACACGCACTCCGGCCACTTGCACAAGGCGCGCAATGGCCCCTGCCAGTTTGGTGAGTTTCGGTTCTGCAGGACTTTGGCGGGCCGGGAAAGCTGGACCCCAGTCCTCTAGGGTGTTGGGTAAATGATGCTCCTTAGCAATGGTGCCTCCTGGTCCTCAGTATCCCTTCCGGATCAGTTTTTCTCGTTTTACCGGGTGTGCAGGGATAATGGGGTGGGAATCCACATCCTGGATGCTCATGGAGATGGCAGCCCTGGAACTGGGCAGAATTCTGGTGAGCCCTCTCACCCTTTGAAACTTACCGTGGTACCTGCAGATACAATTGTGTGCCATGGTGGCATGTTTGGCTTTGGGAAGCTGGGATTTATGGAAAGCATTCCCTTTGGCTCTGAATGTCCAGGTGCCCTGGTTCCACATGGCTTGCTTGCATGGAAGCAACCAAAGGGAAGCTGAGGCTATCACGTAGCTCCATATGGGGAATCAAGAGTCACTGGGCAGAAGCACAGGCCCGCAAGTGTAGGGCGAAGCCCAGCTGAGGGTCCTGTGGAAGCGCCCATCCAGAATAGGTGAGCTCTTTGGAGACTTAAGCTCTAAAACGATTAGGGTGCCATTGGGGGCAGACTCAGGTTTTAGGGGATAAGGGTGTGTGTAAGCAGGGACCTGCCTGCTTTAAGGAAAGGAATAGAAAACTATGAATTGCTAGGGACTTGAAAACTTAAGCTTACCAGCATTACTGTACAACCATCCCTGGGTGTCATGGTTGCCTATCTTTTCTGTGTAATTTTTCAAAACACAAAACATCAGTATAAGGGATGGCTGGCAAAGCACCCTGCTTTGCTAGCCTGTTGGTCTAAGTGGAGACATGGCTGGCCCATTAGGTTTTTTAAAACTATCAGTCTACTCTTGTCTAGACGGGGGCAATGGAGAGTCCTGGATGAATGAACCTTTGCCTAGCAAGTTTGTGTCTTGAGCTTCATGCTTCTGAGCAGGAATTCTGTCCTGGGCCTGAAGATCAAGTTCAGACTAAATGCCAACATGAATGTAATGACTTCAGTTTCAAAAGGAAAGCTGGGTACAGGAGTGGGAGTGAAGTGGGTTCCAGGCCTTAAGAATATCCAATGTTGTGTTATTGCCCCTCATTCCCCACCCTACCCCATTATTCCAGGACCAGTGTACTCAAGTCCAGAGATACAGTGGATTGTTGGAGAAGAGAAAGTAAGTCTGTTCTAGGAAAGAAAGATGATGTGTGGTCTAGTGGGGATCTGACGCAGCCAGCCTCATGGTGCCTGGGAAGGTGGCCATGGCTTTTCCTAGTTGGGGCTCCCAATAAAGAACAGAGCTGGCTCAGAGTGCTTCTGAGCAGCTTCAGGGCTCCTTGAATGACCCTGAGCTGCTTCCTCCACCTTCTTTCTGGCTGTGTCCTGTGGAGCCATTGTTGAGGTCCCTTCCACTTGGAATGCCTGTTTCTGCCCTGTGACACTTAAACAATCCTGTCTTTTTCTTTGTAGTTTGTGTCACTGGATCCTACAATCTGCTTTCGTCAGCATTTAATTCACACAGGCACTTCCCTTTGTCTGCAGATAGGTAACACTAACTCCACATGCAGGAGACGTAAGAAATGCTGACCAGATCTCCAGAATTTGGGTGGCACCAGTGCTATCAGATAATTTCTCCCTAGAGTGGTATTCTGTTTCTGTGAGAAAGACATTGCAAAGATGCATTGACCAAATCTGCTATTATGAACAGGAGACTGACCCCACAAGGACAGGGGACCTATACAAGATGACCCGTAAAGGTTGGCCAGCTCCCAGGTCCCAACACCCAGTCAGTGCTCTTTCAGGACAGGACTTGCTAGTATTAAGTCAGGCAGATGGTGGTTGCCATGGTTACCAGAGTAAGGACAGATGGCAGATGGAAACCCCATACCCCTAATTCACTGAAAATTACCGAATGACAAGTAAATGTGACAGCCCCTCGAATCTGATCTATGAGCTCTGAGGCCCAACCCAGACCCAGGCCCCAGGAATAAAGAGACACTCAAGGCTGGCTTTTCATGACCTCATTAGTGACAAGCGTCAGAACTCCTGAGCTCAGCTGTCCTTCCCACCAGCATTTGTGTCATCCACCTCCGAACTGACACCTTTTCTCTGTCACCTTCTCTCTTCATGTACTTATGTGACCTCCTGCCCTTGTGTCCTGGTGGAGCTTGAAGGTGTGAACAGGGAGAGATTTCCTAGCTACTTGGCACCTCATTCCGAGCTGCCCTAAAGCAATCTTTAATTCAGAAGCCACAGCAGGAGCACATTTTAACAATGCCCCTGGGGACCCTGCTTGAAGGAAACAGAGGGAGAGGGCTGTTCCGCTGGATGTCAGTGGTAAAATCACCCCTCCTCAGCTCTTGCCCAACCTTCCAGTGCCCCAGCTCCTGGATATAAAGGAAAGAAGGCCTCCCTGGAAGGTGATGAGGTTTTCCCCGGGAGGGGGTGGAGAGAAGCATTTTTATACATACCCAGGCCCCTGTGAGACAGTGTGAAAAGTTTTTGGACTTAGACTTAAATGCTGCATGTACCTCCTGTACTCTGACACACCCTGGAGTGCCTGGTAGTGGCAGTGATCCTGTCACACACACACACACACACACACACACACACACACACACACTGAAGATCGGCATGTGAATGATTCATACTGTTGGATGTTCCTTTACCCTCATTTTCTCCTTTGGTTTTCACAGCTACCCCAGGGAGGTCCCACTCCCACTTACTAGAAACACGAAGAAGGGAATTCCCTTGAGCCACAGAGCTAGTCCCAGCCAGATGCGACCCCAGCCTGGGATTTCCTGGCTCTTTGCAGGATGTTGAGCCCCAGCAGCCCCATGAGCTCTCTATATGCTGAGTCTTAGAAAATTCACATTGGTTGAAATTTCAGCTCTAGAAACCTGAGGTATGTGTTACCAGGTAACCAGAAGAGGCAGCAAATGCCACTTTGTCAGAGGGACAAAGAAGGAGCCTCGTGCTCCAAAGCCTTTCATGCTGAGGGCGGGGATTTGGAGCACAGGCTGCAGGGAGCAGGATTAAGCTATTCCTCATTTCACGTGGTATTGTGACTATTAGCATAAATTATCAGGGCTGCTCAGTGTGTTGATTGTTAAACTCTTTGGTTGTGTACCTCAGATGGAGTCCTGTGGGATGACCTTTGATATTCTTTCTTTGCCTGGCACCATTTACTTTAAAGAAATCTCAGAGGCATTTGCAGAGCTCTTTCGTTGCGGCTATTAAGGACCCATTTAATTGACAGGGTAGGGAGACAGATCACCACACACGATCGTAATAGTATCGATCCCTTTCGTCTGTGCAGATCCACACAGTTAACACAGGCACATTTCTGTCTCCCTTCACCCGGAGGACGCAGGCATTCTCTTTATCTATAGAGGAGGAAGAGGAAAAAGTGGTTAGCACACCCACGCTGAGCGGTTGGCCCAGGACCCCAAGCGCTTGACTCTACTACTTTGCCTACCTTGTGGTTTTGCTGCCTGTGACTGAGCACACCTGGCAACTATTCTGTGTTACCTGTCAGTTAGCCCTTGGGCTGGGGAGAGGAAGCTGGCACACTCAAAGCTGCGGCTGACCAGGAGCCACCTTCCCTCCAGAGCCACAGGCTTTTGTCAAAGGAAGTGGAAAGGGAAACCCTGGCCTTCAGGATTGTGGCTGCTCTGACAACAGTAAGGTGAAAAGCTATGTGCCAGGCTGGTGGGGTGCAGGCCATTGCCCATGGTTTCTGGGCCCTCTAGGAAGGTCCCTCTGATGGGAATTGTGACATAGCCAGGAGGTGACAAGCAGGCAAGGCATGGTGGAAGAGTCTGCCCCTGGGGTGGCACAGCCTGCCACATCCTTGAGTCCCTCTATAGGAGACTCATGGACCCTAGAGTCTTGCAGCAATTCCTCACAACAGCCTTCAGGGAGTAAGAAGGGGAAGGGTGGGCTCCTGTGGCTAGTTTAAAGAAAAAAAAAAGAACGAAGCCAAGTCACACTACCGGAATGTGGCACAGGCAGCACTAGCAGTGGAGTTCCGTGCCCTAACCCACCATGCTGTCCCTCCTGCCTCTGATTGTCTTTGAGCATCCCAGTACTATACATCTGGGGACAAAGGATGTCCTAAGAGTATCAAAGACACATTGCCCATCTCATGGAATATCTTCACTGGTCTTTGGGGGTGATGTGTGGGTTCTTTCCTGCCTCTACAAAAAGGGGCTAACATAGCCAGCCTGAGGCTGTGCCTTCAGAGGGGACTGCTGGCAGGCTGGGAGCCTGGGTTTCAGGACGGCATCACCACTCTTAGGGCCGATGTGAGTGGCTCCACTGTGCCTGATCTGTACAGTGCAACCTGCCTCTGTGGTCATTGGCTTTTTGTTACTATATCAAAATACCTCAAGTGGTTAACTCAGAGAGAAGAGTTGATTTGGCTCATGGTTCTAGAGGTTCAGTCCAAGATCAGCAGCCCTGTTTGTCTTTGCAGCACAGCATGGCAGGAGTGGCTCACTTTTTGACTCAGGAATAGGGGGAAGGGAAGGGGAGGGAAGGATGAAAAAGGAGAGGAGAGAGGGCGGTGAGAGAAGAAGAGACACTAGTATTCCATTATCCACTATTCCAGCTCTTAAGGGTCCATTTAATTGGCAGGGTAGGCAGACATCACCAAACACTGTCATAATAATATTGATCCTTTTCTTCTGCACAGATCCATAGTTCACACACGCTCATCCATTATCTCCTTGGTGGCTGTCTGGCGGTGGCCATTGTTTTTATCTGCAGACAAGGAGAAAGTGGTTAGCACACCCCTCAGGACCCAAGATTTCCCACTAGGCCCTGCCTCCTAAAGGTCCCATCACTTCCCTGTTGCACCAGCTGAGAACCAATCCTTTAACATGTGGACCGTTAGAGGACACTGACCAAATAGCACCGCCAAATACCTGCTTACTTTCCAGGAGCTTGTGCTGTTGTATGCAGTGGGTACCTGTGTGACCAGCCCTCTGTTGACACCCTGGGCACTGAGCCCTCATGAGCCTCCAGGGGGACAGCATTCTACAGGTGCTGTCTCTTTTCATGATTGTGCCCTTTGTGACTCTACTGGGAGAAGTTTGGGGAAGTTTGTGCCTGGTTCTCTACCCGACTTTCCCCTTGGCTGATTTTGCCTTGTATCTTGTGCTGATGTAAACCGTGAGTATATCCATGAGTTCTATGAGCCCTCCAGCAAATCTCTGTATCTGAGGATTGTCCTGAGGATTCCTGACACAATCCCTAAGAACTAATCTCTTATTCTGGGATGGAGTCCGTGCAAAAAGCAAATGGTTCACTTTAAAAATTGTATGGAAATTCATAGAACCAGGGAGCTGGCTTTGAGTTTCCACTCTTCCAGGCCCTTCACCCTGATGAGCCTTTCTGTTCTCATTTCTAAAATGGGGATAAAAACCACCGCTTCACAGGACTGGTGTGAGAGTGGAAGGGGTGGTGCACAAGGAAGAGTACCGTGGGGAGAAGCAAGATGGCATTGAGGCAGGGTAAGAGAGTAGAGGTTCTCGAAACAGGTACAAGGCTCATGGCCTTAGCCCAGTATTCAAGGCTGGGCAGTCCTTCAAGGCTTCCCCTTAGGATGGCTGGTAAGACTGCTGGAAAGACAGGTGTTTCTCCAACCTTGTCAGTGGAAGGCACTGCGTTAGTCTGTGACATTATCACCATTGCAATTATGAATACTATTGACTATGAAGAGCTGTCTCAGATAAAAATGTTTTAAATTTAAAATCGTATGTGTTAAAGTGAAAAGCAGGTGATTATGACAAAGTGCACCCTGAGGATATTTCTTGAGATAACTATTCTATGTCTGGGTTACCGTGGTAGTTACATGACTGTATGCATTTGTCAAACCTTAGAACTGCGGCATACCAGAAAGAATAAGTAGTACTGTCTGCAGATCTGCAAATCAATAAATTATGAAGTATCCCTTTGACATTGAAAGCAGAAGTCTGTTTTGTAAAAGACATGATATTTCCTGCTGTGACATCTGTGACAAAGATAGTATTTCCAAGACACTCCTCTTTAGTTGCAGGTAATGAAAGAGTCAGTGGCCAGCCAGGGAACTGGATCGAGGAAGAAGAAATGTGATTTACTGGTTTATTCAGTTAGGACAGAAAAGGATTGATGAAATCTCATTTAAAATTTATGACTTTACATGAATGAAAGTGAAACCCAGTGATGAGAGTCCCTTTGGGATCCATGGAGGGCTCTGAAGAGGGTTCTGATGGTCCCCAAGTGAACCATTTAAGGACTGTGGTGGAGGCAACATCACAGCACCTGTGTGGCTGGGAGGCTCTGAAGGGGAATGTGAATAAATTAGCCTTTCTTTGTTATCACAGATGGGGCTGCTGCCAGAGCCAGGCCGTGGGCTTCTTTGTGGAAGTGGGCAATGTTAGGTGTCTCAGAGCTTGGTTCCTTGGGGGCTTTAGATATGGACTGGCAGGGTCCTTCACAGGGGAGCCCGGTGGGAACAGCTGAAGCAGTGGGCTGAGCAAGTGTTGGAAGAGGCAGCCTGGAATGGTTGGATAGTCCTGGTATTCAGCTCCAGGGAAAACCAAGGCATCCCCAGAAATGTGGGCTCCAGAGAGCAGCCCTGGGATCAGCAGGTGGCAGCTACAGAGACAGCTTTTCACTCCAGAGGATAAGATTTCTTACCAGTAGTCCTCCAAAGATGGAAGGGCCTGGCTCTATAGGTAGTGAGCTCTCCATCACTGGAAGTATGGAAGCAAAGTCTGGATGGATGTGTCACAGACAAGTGCAGGATTCTGGGGAGTTGGAATGCTATCATCATCTTAAAACTCTGTGGCTTAACATAATTTCTCTCCAGCCTGACAGGATCTGCTTCCCAGACTGTCTGCAGGGGCCAGACTAATCTTTTTGCATCCTTCTACTTCTCTGCCTTAGACAGAGCATCAGTCCTGTCCCTCACTCCCCCTCCCCCCTCCATCCTGTCTACCTCCCTTGGTGCTCCATTTTTACTACAGCCTTCCCCTGGGGGTGAGGGCCCTTCCCCTCTTGGGACAGGCCTGGGAAGGGCAGCAAGTCTGTTCCTGAGGCCTCACTAGGCAAAGCCCCAGGAACCCTTGAACCTGTATTATGATGGCCCTGGAAGAACACATTTGTTCTTTTATTTGCCACGTTCCCCACCCCAGCCCCTATTTGCATATTGGGTAGTGAAGCCATTGCTTTCTCACTGTCTGTGAGTGGGTCCCCTGCACAACCCTGGGGAGGAGTGTATAACTCCCAGCTCCCATGCGAGGAGGCCTGAACCGAGAGTACTTGCATGGCCAGGCCTCCTCCTTACACCTTGGATGCAGCTGGGTGGCTGAACTTGCTGTCCACCACAGGTGAGCTCAGGTAGGTGCACCTGGCTGTAAGCCTGGTCATGTCTCAGCAGGTCGAAGAGATGCAGGCTCCCTGGTCAGAGGAGTGGTTGCTTAACTGGACCTGCAGGATGGACTTAACTTTCAAAGATGGCTGTGAACAGAGCAGATGCCATGCATGGAAGGAGGCAGAGTGTGGGATATGAGTTTTTTGGGCTTATTTGTTTTTGTTTTGTTATAATACTGGTAAGGTAAACTCAGAGCCTTCATATTGAGCTGCATCTCCAGGCCTTTTTATTTTTTAAATTTTGAGTGGAGTCTCATTAAGTCACTGAGCTGCCCAGACTTGGCTCAACCCTGCTGTCCTGCTGAGGATTACAGGTGCTGGGATTATAGGTGTGCCACCACACCCTTGCTGTTAGCTGAGTTCCTAACTCATACCCACAGGCTCCTGGGTTCCCTCCAGAGAGCCCACGTTCCCCTCTGCTTCCTAAAATGCCTGCCATCCTAGAGCTGCATTTGCCTCATCTGGAGTCACAGAAGCTCAGCCCCCTCTCCCTTCACGGGTTCCCAGGTCTGCTTGGGAATGGAGTAGTTCAGCCTGGTGTCTGCATATGCAGACCGTTATGTCCATGATGTACCAAGGGGCTCTGCTTTGGCAGAAATGGTGTCCTGCTTTGAAATACTCAGCATGCAGAAGCAGAAAAGCCCTTTTGGAGGCCACCAGGACCTGTGGCTGAACCGTACACGGATGGCAGCTGGGGTCCAGGACGTGCCTACAGGGGGAGTGTGCTAGGCCGGAGCTTTGTCACTGACCTTGAGAAGTGGTCTTGCTTCTCAGGACCCGTTTTCCTGGTGGTAAGACATTGGCAGTGGGTCAGAAAAATCTCCCCTCAGTTGAGGAGTCACTGCACCCCTCAGGGCAGAGGTCCCCAAGGCCCTCTGCAGCCTGGACAGCATAAAGCCATGATCCCTTGTGTTCTTTTCACAGCTCCTGTGGTCATCTTGCCACCCCGGAGTGTCCACAATGTCACTGGGGCACAGGTTTACCTGTCCTGTGAGGTGAGGGCAGTGCCCACCCCAGTCATCACGTGGAGGAAGGTATTTGTCTCCAAGCACTCTTGTATGTATAGGGGGTGCACGCGCATGTGCACTTGGGTGAGGCAGAGACAGACAGAACGGTGGGTGGTGAAATTTTTCCTTTAAATGTGCTCATGTGTATCCCTTTATATGTGGGCCAGAAGATTACAAAAGAAGCCTTGCATACCACTCCTCCCTCTCCAAACTTTTACCCTAGGAGAGGGACTGGTGCAGTCTGGTCCGTGCCATCTGCTGCCTTGGCCACAGCCTAGCTCAGCTACTGGGACCCAGAACCTGCTGCATGGGGGAGATGAGCTGTAGACTGCCTTGGCTGAGAGTAGAAGACTTGGTCCTGTCCCAAATGTCAATCCTCCTGAAGATCTATCATGACATTTGTTGCTCCTGTGGCTCAACAGTCCTGACAAGGGCTCTGAAATTGTGAACTGCCTTTGCCAAATAGTGGCGATGTTAGCATCCTTGCCGTCCAGCAGGGGGTGCTGCTTACACACACCTTTAGGTTTTTAAGGCACCTGATGTTATTTGAATACTAAAAGACTGGTGCTAGGGCTTTTCAGCCTTTGAGTCCCTGGGAAGATGGAGATGTTTGGGGTTAGAAGTACTTATTCTAAGTGGCTCATGGTTTCTCTGCTGTAGATCACACACTCTCCTGAGGGCATCGAGGTCCTGGAGGAGTTACCTGGGGATCACGTCAATATAGCTGTCCAGGTGCGAGGGGGCCCTGCTGACCACGAGGCCACAGGGTGGATTTTGGTGAGTTTTTCAGGTTATCTGATATTACTGGCTGACTTTATGAACCTTTGTCTTTCTGTGACATGCGAGAGTTCTCAAAGCTCTTCCTGTTCGTCTCACAGGCCTTCCATGTCTGGCAGGCTGTGTAGCCCCTGAGAGCCCAGGGATTTGCCTCAGAGGCCCTCACAAGACCTGTCAGTGGGTTATGATACATGGCGAGGGAGATTAGCTTGCTAAACAGCTGACTTGGGGCTGGTGAGATGGCTCAGTGGTCTAAAGCACCTACTTAGAACAAGCTTAGCAAAGCACAGGGACCATGGTTCAATCCCCCAGCACCACATGCCAGCCAGCCCCGCCCCCTGGTGGGCTGAGCTGGCCACACACACACACACACACACACACACACACACATAAATAAATAAATAAATAAATAAATGTTTAAAAAAAAAAAACAGCTGACTTTAAGGCAGAGAAAGGAGCCTGGCTCACCCAGTTGGGCCCAATTTAAGGGTTAGTGTGAATAAGAAAGAGGGAGGCATAAGAGCCAGGTAAGGGGATGTAAAAAGGCCTCTCGCCTCCATTGCTGGTGGTGGAACTGAAGGAAGGGGCCATGAGCCAAGGAGCACTGGTATATTGGTCAGCTTTCTAGTGCTGGACAAAGTACCTGACACCTCCAGCTGACAGGAGAGGGCTATTTTGGTTCATAGTTTCCTGGGTCTCAGTCCATGATCAGCAGGCTCCGGTGAAGAGACATGGTGGAAGAGGGACAGGACACGGTGGCTAGGGACAGGACACAGTGGCCAGGAAGCAGAGCACAGGGAATGAGCACCAGCGTGGCAGGGACCAGGCACCACATATAACCCTATGGTTGCCTCCCATTCATGAGATTGGTGCCCTCACTAGCCAGTCACCTTTCTCTCTTTTTTAAAAAAATATGGAATGCTTCATGAATTTGCATGTCATCCTTGCACGGGGGCCATTTGATCTTCTCTGTTTCATTCTAATGTTAGTATATGTGGTGCCAAAGCGAGCACCAGTCAACTCTCTTGAGTCAAGGCGACAATTTTGGGGGGAGGATACCAGGATTCAACCCAGTAACAACATATAGCTACATTCCTAGCCCATTTAAAAATATTTATTTGTTTATTTATTTATTATTTTGGACCAGGGTCTCACTAAAGTGCCCAGGCAGGAGTCAAACTTGGGATCCTCTTGCCTTAGTCTCCCAGAGTGCTGACGTTGCAGGCATTGCTGCCATACTTGGCTGACAATCAATATTAACTAGCACAGCTGTCTACTAGGAACTGGACTGGGCCAGGCAGCAGGTTCTACCCTAGAATCATAGGAATGCTGCTGCACCCTGATTTTCATCTCCTGAGACCCATTTGGCCTTCTGACCTCCAAAACTATAGATGATAAGTTTGTGTTTTAAGCCACTAAGTTTGAAAAGGTTGGTTATGGTAGCCATAGAGCAGTAATCCACCTAAGACCACATAACTGGTAAAGAGGGACCAGGTATAGTCAAGATCCCCTCCAGGGTTGCTATGCCATTCATAGTATTTTTGCTTTAAAAAGAAAGAATGCCAAGTGTCTGGAAGGTGGAAGAATAGGAATGCTCACCAGGGATGGCTTCCCCCATGTCCCCACAGCTCTGGGAGGGGCTGATTCTGTACCCAGTTGAAGGCCTCAGAATGCAGTCGGGCCCATGGCCTTTACAAACCAACCAAGCACACTCCCTCATTTTGACAAGCAAACATAAGAAGTAGAAAATACTACTGGTGGTACTTAAAAGGGCTACCCCTACAGGGAACACTGACTCCTACAGGGAACACTTTATGGATCTTCTTTAGCTAAAAGAGTTTTGTTTTATAATTTGCAGTCTTTTCCTCATAATCTATACTGTCCCCTTCAATAAAAGGACCAGGCAGCTAGAGTGAAAGGCAGGAATGTAGAGGAATTGTTAAAGAAAAAGCCACAATAAGGATCTTGCCCTTCAAGAGGGTCCCCAAGAATAATGTTTTACAGTGCGCCGCTTGGCAGTCGAGGCAAGAAGACAAACAGGAGTTGGTCTTATTCAAAAAGGAGCAAGTGGTCAAATAGAGCATTAAAAGCTAAGTAAGCAGGTCTTGTGTTGTGCTGCATGTAACTGTGTGACTGTGCCTGCTGTGTGCCTAGATCAGTCCCCTGAGAAAGGAAGACGAGGGCGTGTACCAGTGCCACGCGGCCAATGTGGTTGGGGAAGCCGTATCGCACAGCACAGTGATGGTCCTAGATCTGAGCAGATACAAAAGCCCCCGCTCCCCAGCTCCAGCTGACCGCCTGTGACGGATGAAGGTATATGTTCTGAGCCATTTCATTATTCCTGCCTGTGTCCCAAGAGTTTTGAGGTGGCTGACTAGATATGCGATAACACAGAAGCGAAATACGCAAGTGGGGACACAGGAGGGAAAATGGGGAAGAGCTGGGCGGTGTGAAGGTGAGCGCTGGACCTCTGTGTGCTCTGCGTGTCTCTGACCTCCCCAGCATGCACAGTCAAGAGCTGGGAACATGGGCGTCTGCAGGATGAAAGAGCTGGAACTGTTTCTCGGTCTCTGAGGTGGGAAGGATATTTCCTCCAGGCCCAAGAGGTGGTAGACAGTGTCACTTCAACAGCATTTACACAGAAACTTTCCTGCAGAGAAGACCGCTGGGCTTTGTGTGTCTTCTCCCAGGATGGCTCTCACCCCTTTGCTTACTGTCCTGTGTGCTGCTTGGCAACACGTCTCACGGGGCTGGGGGGGGGGCAGAATGCAGAGATCCAAACAGCCTTTAGTTCGCCTAGTCACACAGGTGACTCTGGGGTTGCATCTGCACCCTGTCTACAGGGAACTGAGAACTTGGGAAATGAATCACTTTCTCAGCCAGCTTTTTCTGTGTAGCAACCCCAAGCGCTGCTGGTTCTCAGCCAGAAGCATCTATCTCTTGCTCACGTTCCATATCACTGGTATGGGCTGGCTGTGGTTCTGCTCCACAGCTCTTCTCATCTGAGACCCAGCTGGAGGAGCAGCTCCCGTGTGGAATACATACACTCTTCTGGCAGAAGGGTTAAGTAAGAGGCCAAGCCAAGTATATAGTCTCAGTTAATGTCTGGCTCAGATGTACGTCATCATTGAACTATATAGCAAATGCACACCATCCTCATATCTGCCTGCACATCATTGGCCAGTGCACATCACAGGTCACACTGGGATGGGTGAATCCAGGCAGTGTGTACTACTCTCACTGGAGACAAAGGGCAGGGGTGCAGGATCCTCATACAGGGTGGGAGGACAGGCGTGACCTGGGATTATGGGACTATCACCAAGGCTGACCAACAGGTTTTTAGTAGAGCAGGAAAAACTAGAAACAGAAATTTCTTAAAAGCAGAAGGATTTTACTATAGTTCTAATTAAATATAACCTTGTGGCCACTATTGTTATACACCTTCTGTGTGCAAGAACTCTCTTCAGATCTGTAGGGGAGACACAGACAAATAAAAAGTGAGCATCATTAGAATACAAGGGCTGCAGCTTAGGGGAAAAAAGATGTGTGTCGTTTTGAGGTAGGAGAAGCCCCTGAAACTAAGGAAAGTGAGGGCAGATGTCACTGGGAAGTGGCATTGGGGCTGAAAGGCAAATGTCTGCAGGTATTCAGAGGTCATAGAAAAGGGGAAAGTGTGAACGTATGAAACTAAGATAGGGCTGGGGAGATAGCTCAGTGACATAAGCACCTGCCTGGCAAGTGAAAAGACCTGGGTTTGATGCCTGGTACTGCAAGCTGTGCCGGCCCCAGAAGTGCTGTGCCAGCTCCAAAATCAGGCATGGTGGTGTACACTTGTAGTCCCAGTGCTGGGGAGGCTGAGCCAGGAGGATCACTATGAATCCAAACTACATAGCGAGACCCTGTACCAAAAACTTTTTTCTTTTTGCGGAACTGGGGATTGAGCTCAGACCCTTCTGCTTTCCAGGGAAGCACTTATTCCACTGAGCCATCTCCCCAGCCCCTCAAAAACTTTTTAAAAAACGTTTTTTTACTTTAAGACTGTAAGATAGAATTCAGGAAAGAGTTAATCAGGTTGTAAAGTTATCTTCCTGATACTTGACTCCTTTGTTTTAGGTAAATATATCTTTTTTTTTTTTTTTTTTTTTTGGAACTGGGAATTGAACTCAGATCTTTGAGTTTGTCAGTCAAGCGCTTATCCTACTGAGCCATCTCCCCGGCCCCTAAATATATCTTCTTATATGTATTATTTTTGTATAACATATTTTACCTATTTTATTGCATATTCAGGTGTTGAGTTCCCTGTAAAATGTGCAGTGTTGGCCAGCTCTTGCTTGCCTGCCTCCAGAAGTACAGGGCTCACTACTGCCAGAAAACCACCTTAGAATTTTCCAATAATTGAAACGTTCTTCCTTGTATTGAGCTGTAATGCGTGTGTCTGAAATCTCCATCTACTGGTCTCACATGTTTTTCTCGGGCTTCTGCAGGACCCCTTGACCCTTCCCTCGAACCATTTCATGCAAAGAAATATTTGAATTTAGGAATCACCTCCCATTGAACACACAGCAGATTGTGACAGAACAGGTCCTTTTTCTCTAACTTTTCCCCTCTTTTTTTTCCCCAGGGTCTTAGAGACATTGAGCACAGGATAATGAAGAAGTCAAATACTGAACCATTTTGCTTTGTGAAGACTTGGGAAAACTGTTTGTAGATGACCCCTTTTGTATGTTTTTAAAAACTGGATGCAAACTAGATTCATACGCAGATGTAGTTTTTAACAGGATAAACATGGGAAAACAGATGTGCATGTAGCTTTTTTATACTCTTGGAATGATTGTTTCGTGTGAATTCTTTTTTAACTTTTCCTTCCCAGGGAGCTCAAATCTTGGCATATTTGTAATCTAAAGGGCTCCAATTGAGGTGCGTGTGACTCAGACCTGTGACTGATTAGTGCATGCTCTGCGACTTAGTTTGTGTTGTAGAAGGAGGGAGGAATTTCTCAGCACTCCTCAGTCTGATTTTTGCTTGCTGTGTGACCTCATGGGTCTCTTTCCCTCTCTGGGCCTAGGTCCTTCATCTGTGATTGTGGCATTTGAAACTGATGTCACCAGAATCCTTTCCAACCCTGACATCCTAGGGTAAGATAGCCTTGTACAATAAATATAGAAAGCCTGATCTTAGTGTTCATCTTCAAATGGTATTCCCTTAAAAACAAATTATCACCTCATACCAGGGTGTAGATAACTAGTGTGACTCTTACATTTCTGTCCTTTCCCTCAGTTTAAGATTTAGTCCTAGATAGGACAGGTACTTTGGTGGGTGTTTGGGGACCATACCGACTACTATGATCCCAGCATTGCACAATGTGGGCTGAGATCCGGCTTCTGGACATCACAGTGTGGAAGGGGATCAGGTCCAGAGGTCCTGGACATTGAATCACAGTATAGTATAGAGCATTCTACTTATATACATTTTGACCTCATCCAAGAATAAGGCTTTCTCCCTTTTTAGTGGAAGAAGGAGAATATTTACTATCTGGTGGATCTCTGGTGATTAGAATTTCTTCACATTAGTCCTTAAAGTGGAGAAAGCACTGTCCCACCCATGAGCCCAGTCCCACAAAGGTGGGCAGCACAGTAATTAGTGTCCTGGTACTGCTCTGTGAAGAAACTAAACTCTAGGAGGGAAACTCCTTGTCCAAGTCTGGAGGTAGAAACCCTGCTACTTTCCACTCTATGCTGCTCTGTCCCAGGGTGACCTTAAAAGCAGAGGAGGGCAGTGCTGCCATACCTGGCCCAGTTCAACTTTTAAAGAACTCTCTTGTGCCTCTTATATTGGCCATTATATTCTTGAGTACTTGTTAGAATTGAACTTTTTTGCCTTTGAATGTGGCCATTGATTGTCCAAAATATTGGCATGGTATGACTGGTATACTCCACAGTAGAAAGAGACCAATCTGGGAATCCAGAAGCGTGAGGTCCACGCAGTTCATCCTGGCTTGCTATGCAATTGTAGGCGGGTCCCTTCACGCCCTGGGCAGCCACACCCTCATCTGAATAGGAAGGGGATGAACCTAGAGGAATGATTTTTGAACTTAAAACACTGGAGTTCCTTCTTTGAGTAAATTGAGAATTGAAATTGATCAAATTGGGGCTGGTGAGATGGCTCGGTGGTCTGGAGCACCTACTTAGAACAAGTTTAGCAAAAAAGCACAGGGACCGCGGTTCAGTCCCCCAGCACCGCATGCCAGCCAGCCCTGCTCCCTGGTGGGCTGAGCTGGCCACACACACACACACACACACACACACACACACAAATAAAATTAAAAAAAAAAAAAGAAGTTAATCAAATTGGAAGCCACCTTTGGCTATTGGTAGTTGGGGCTGCCTTGGATACTGGGGAATGGGGAACTCGCTCCTGTCCCTTCCCCATCAGCACCTCTTTCCCTTCTCATCTTCCCTCATTGCAGTTATTTCTACATCTGAGCTGCTGCCTTTAGTTCCCTGCACTCTGAGTGGTTGGGAGAGACTTAGTCAGACTCTTACGTCGGAAGGAATGGGGACACCGTGGCTCTGGAGAAGGTGGTAGAACTACATCTGATGAGAAGCATGTTTTGTGGAATCAGTTGAATCATATCATTTGCCTCATCATCAGTTGCAACATGGTGTATTTACATGACCGTTTAAGGGCTTTCTGCATTAAGAGTTCTAAGGCCTCTGAAGACCAAGAACGTGTGCTGAACCGCTGGTTTCATGCAGAAGCATGCTCCATCCCCCCAAGCCTGTGTGTTTTCTACCCTATTTTCATAGATGCTATGGTGTCACAAACCCTGCACCCTAAAAATAAATGTTTTTAAGGATGTTCTTTGTGGTCTCTTGTCTCGGGGATACTGCTGTAGGTGGGTCCAGGTCCCATTCACACTTCATCATCCGTTGTGCACCCTGCCCTTTCTCTATTGACATCAACTACTTTAGTCAAACCTTCCCTACCTTTCACACCCAGGCTGGGGCTGCCTTTCTACCTGGTCTCCACACCACCTTTCTGTATTACTAGAATTGAACATGCCTTGCACATGCTAGGGAAGGACTCTACCACTGAGCTACATCATCAGCTCTTTTATTTTTACTTTGAGACAGAATCTTGTCAAGTTGCCCTGGCTGGCCTCGAACTTGCAATACTTCTGCCTCAGCCTCTGGAGTAACTGGCTTACTTGCAATTTTTAACCAGCCCTAATCACTTCACACGACTGCCAGTCTGATCACATGAATGTGCATGTCCCTCGCTACAAGCATCCTAGTATTGTATGCACTCACTGCTACATACTCTGTCGTCTGTAACACACATTGAAGAGCAGGTAGCAGAAAGGTCCAGGATGCCAGGTGAGGAGGGCACAAGTGTGGTGCCAATGGGCCACAGCATGTCAAGGGCCTTCTGGAAGCTGGGCTGGGTGGCTGCCCAAGAAGGAATCTTTGAGAGAGAGCCTTCATGTAACTTTTATTACAACATATCATACTCATTTTACTATTTGTTATTATTAATTCTTACCGTGCTTGATTTATAAATTAGACTTTTTCATATGTGGGTATAGGAAATAAAGTAATTTATATAGGATTTGGTATCATGGTTGTAGAACATGCCCCTAATGATAATGGACCATAGTAATTCTAAAGTCAGTGTTCACGTATCCAGTTTTTACCTTAAACCAAGAAAGAGCTGATTTTCACTCAAGGTGTTTTTTTTTTTTTTTTCCTTCGGGTTTTATGGTGAAACTAATTCCTGTGTCTTTACAAAAACATTGCCTTCCTCACTCCCCCAGGGATGGATGATGTGGGAAAAATGAATAAGAACAAGAGAATCAATCAGTAGTGAACAGTCTCCTGTAATGAATTTCCTCATTCCCAGCCTTGCTGTGGCTCATGATCATTAAATCAGAGAATGGTTATCATGTGGTATTTTAATTAATTAAGAAACCACTGCACTCTGGTGTCTGCAGCTTAATGAATTGAGAACTTGGAGCCCGTCACCCAGTGCATCATCAGGTGTGATACTTCCTACACTGGCTCAGCCTGCTCCTGCAGAGCTTCTTTAGGGTCCAGGCTGCCTTTGAGCTCAGCCTCAATGGCTTCCAGGACTGAAAAATGCCTGGCTCCAGGACACAGAGCCACTTGTGTGGTTTTGTCACTGCCAGTGCTGGGGAGGGAGGGTGGGCAGAGGCCTCTGTTCTCTGTGCATGAGCCCATCTGTCCCACACATGTGCACAGGTATCTCCTCGCTCAGTCTTATCTCTGGCACACAGGGCTGCTGCTGATGCCATGTGTGGACTATCTCTGTGATGCTGAAAGGGCATGCAGTGGGCACTGGGATATAATGGAGAGCAGCTTTGGAGCCAGAGGACTTGGAGCCACAGTCTATGGGTCTCTGGGTTACTTCTCTTGATTCTAAGACTCCATTTCCTCATTGGTCCAAACCAAAATGTGAACATCACTGTCCTGACCTGCTGTGCTCTGAGTGAAAGGCCATACACTGTCTACTCTGCAGGGGATGGCAGAGGGCAAGGAAAGAAAGCAGAAGTGTGTGAGAGATTGCCAAGTAGCACCAAAATAGATCCATTTTATGAGAGCTGCCATTGAATAAAACCAAGGGCCAAGAGAATGCTGTGATCTCAAGGGGCCAGAAGTGGATTGAGAAGATCAAAGCCCGTGAAGAAGGTGGGCTCTAGGGCTCTAGATATGGCCCTAAGAAAGTGGACTGAACCTGGACATGAGGGACATAAGGAGAAAGAAGCAGCTTGAGCAGCTAGACGGCAAGGGCCCACAGGGGACTGGACTGCACACCGTCCTTGTGAGAAGCCTTTCACTCCTGCCTGAAGTGGGGCAAGTGTGGCAGAACACTGGCCACTGACCACCTGGCTCCCTCCCCAGTGCTGGGATGTCCCATCAACACCCATAGGTCCAGCTGTCCTTTGCACTGACAATATTGAGTTTAGCTGTTTTGCCAATGAAACGTAAATAGAGGTGTTGGATTCCATCGGGATGTCATGGTTTTGTAAGAACTTAGTGTGCCTTTTCTGTCCTTCCCTCCCATCATGCAACTAACAAGTAGTCTGTGAGACCCCTAGTGGGTACAGCCCATGGATCTCTTGGAATTCTACAGGTGAATTCATGGGTTCTATGAACTTCTTGAAAGGATGGCAAGTTTCATGTGAATGTACATATGTGTGCTTTAGTATGGTGAAAAACATCTACCTCTTTCATTATTTACTTAGAGAAACATGTAACATATACTAAGAACTATTGTAGATGGATGGAAGGAAATTGTCCCTGAATCCATGTGGGAACAAAATGCCAGTCAGCCAGATTCCTGTATTAGATTATTATGTAAAGCAAGGAATAAGCCATTGTTTTTTGGTACAGTGTCTCGCTATGCTACACAGTTGGGACTCATAGTGACTCTCCTGTCTCAGCCTCCCTTTGTGCAGGGATTGCAGGCATGTGCCACCATGCCTAGTTTCAGGGCTGGCACAGTGTACAGTACCGGGGCTTGCACTTGAGACCTTTCACTTGCCAGCAGGCTATCTCCCCAGCCCTAGAGCCATTGTTTTTTTTCAAGCCTCTCAGTCTTAAGGGTCCACTTACAGCAGCTAATGTTACATTAATACACATGGGGAGAATGCTTGCCTTGGAGCCAAGAGATCTAATTCAGACCACACTCTGGCCTCACCGAGCTGATGACCTTGGACAGTTACATGGTCTCCGGTGAGGACGGAGGTTCTCAAAGGCCTCCTAACATAACTCCTAGTTGGTCTTCCCCACTCTAGCACTAGCACACAGACCACTGGGGCTCGGGGGGTGTACGGTACTCTCATCCACAGCAGCCTTCTGTCCCCAGCCACTCCACACAGACTGCTGCAATCAAGGGACACTCCTCAGTGCACCCTTTACTCGATCCCTCGGGAGCATGATTTCCTTCCCTTGGGGAAGTCCACCTTCCATGATTCCCCAAATCCTGCTCCTACCCCTGAGACTGCTTCTGCCTCAAGCCCCTATTGAATCCCCCCTTGTTACAGGCATTCTCCAGGTCAGACTCTCCTTGCTCCTCCCACAAACCATTCTCAACACAGCAGGCCCCAGTAGTCCTCTCAAAGTGCATCAAGGCGGCGCAACTCTGCTCAGAACCCTGCAGTGGCTCCTCCCCCATTCAAAATCTAGCTGCACAAACTAACAGTTCAAACTACTAGTACGCCCTGCTGCTGCCCCATCTTTGTCACTGCTCCTCGCTTGTTCCCCCAGCAACCTGGCTCCCTGTGCCTTTTGTGCCCCCAGGCATGCTCCAGCTTTGCCACACCTTCAGTGAGACCATCTCTGATCTCTTGATTGAAAGTCACAGCCCCTGCCCCACTTCCCCAATGTTTCCTATTCCCCTTCCCAGCAGGCTTTTTCTCCATTATACTCTTGACTATCTGACACAGTGCAATCGACCTCTATATCTGAAGGTCAATCAACCATGGATTGAAAATATTAGGGAAAAAAGGCAACTACATTAAACATGCAAGGACTTTTTCTTGTCTTTATTCACTAAACAACATCATGTAACAGCAATTTACATAGTATTTGTATCATAGTAGGTACAAGTAACCTGAAGATGAATTTAAGTATACAGGATGATGTGCAAGGTTATAAGAAATACTACGTCATTTTATATAAGGGACTTGAGCACCTAAGGTTTTCACAATCCACAGGGGTCCTGGAACCAATCTCCTATTTATACTGAAGGACAACTCTATGTCATGCATATTCCTTATGGTCTACCTACTCCATCAGTTACATGTAGGATTTTTGTTTAGTCTCGAATAATTCCTGGTACATAGTTAACCTGTGTGTTGAATAAAAAAAACCCCGCACCATCCTGTCTTTAAATTTGCCTTTCAAGGTAGATACCCTTGCTCTGGTGCTCCTATCTTCCCCCAGCCACATGGCTACTGCATCCAGGAATATGAAGCACCCCAACTTTTGCTGTCCTCTCTTACCAATGTCTGTCACCACCCCGAAGACCACCTTTCCAGAATCTCCCACTACTCCTACACCCCACTTAGGCCAGTATCATAGTAGGCATGGGCAGCAGTGTCAGCTCCAAG